TTTTTTCCAGAAAAGTGGGAATGCCTGGGGCACAGCATCCTGGTAACAGGAGGAGCACAGGAGGGAAGGTTATGTGTGTGAGCACATTTCAAGCCTTTGCTCAGATCCCATCTGCTAACCTGTTACTGACTGAAGCAAGTCATGTGGCCAAACCCCAAATCAGCGGGGTGGGGGTGTTGAACTATGTGCTCACTGTGTGCACTGGGGAGCGAGCGCTGGGGATTAGAGAACAGACATTTGCTCAACAGTAATCCAATCACATGCCCCCACAGACCCCAATGTGCCTTTGTCAGCGGGTGGGACAGAGCCCTGTGGAGGCAGACGCTGGGCTTCCTCGGGCGAGTGACTTCTTGCTACTCCCAGGTTCAAACCGAAGGAGTTCTGTGCATGCATGCCTCAGAAAAATGACCAGCTGCCACTTTTCATAAAGATCCTTCAAACACAGACAGAGCCATGCAGGCTGACTTGGCCAAGGCCCCGGATGGTCCAGTTCCCTGGAGCTGAGAGTCCTCCATGAAGACAGGGGCTTTCCGTTGCCACTGTGGGGATTCCTGTGGAGGGGGCTACTCTGTGCTTGTGACCAGAGCTCACTCTGGGAAGTGGGGGGCCCCTCAGAGATCCTTCGGAGTGCCATGGCCATGGCCCGTCGAGGAAACCTGCCCTGAGCGACCACCTGGGGTTTTCATAAGATGTGCTTTCTCCGGAGTGGCTGAAACCAGGGTCCACGCAAAGTTTCTATGACTTGAAACTTCTCTGAATTAAGAAAAAAATGACACCCTTCACAGGTGCCACCCATTGGAGGTACGCAAACTTAATGAACTATGGTAAATGAAATAAGTTTGGCAAACGTTAGCTTATTTTTCTTCCTGGTACCATCCTATGTATGTGGAGTGGGTCTGAACCAGGTATAATATGGGCACAATTATAGTTCTGCCAGGAAACCCTCCTCAAGTAACAGACCTTCATAATAAAGACAGTTATTAGCAACAGTGGTATGAACTGGGCTGCACCACGTTGGCATGATGCAGACACGGCATTCCTTCCAAGTTCATGCCTGCAGGGCTTCCCAGCAGCGGAAGGAGCTCTCCTGTTAGCTTCTACTTGTTGTCCCAGAGTTGAAGACAAAAAGGACAGAGCTTGTGGCAAAATTATGCAGCTGCCAGAATGAATCCTCCCAGGCCCCAGTCCCATATTCCTTCTTTCCCAGCAGAAATCACAGGATTCCCTTTTGCTTTCTAACTTCCTCAAGGTCAAATACCCAGACTAAGTTTTCTATTTCTGTAAAATAAATCCCCTCCAAACACAGCAGTTTAGAAGTATAATAAACAGTTATCATTTCACATTGTTCTGTCATCATGTGGGAGCGGCTGAGCTGGGGCTACACGGCCCACTTCCAAGACGGTGCACCCCCACGCTGGGGGGTGCTGCCGGCAGAGGCCTCAGCTCCCCACCACAGGGGTCTCCCCGGGGCTGCTTGAGTGTCCTTCCGACATGGCAGCTGGCTTCTCTCAAAGCGAGGTACCCAATCAGCAAGTTGGAAGACAGTGTTTTTTACGGCCTAGTTTCAGAATTCACAAACCATAATTTTTACGACATGCTGGTTGGTTACAAAGTGTAGGCTAATCGAGTGTGGGAGGAGACTCCACAAAGACACGAATATCTTAGAGTGAGGATGGTGGGCTCATTTTGGAGGCTGGCTAGTGCACACCTCCGGCTTGCACTTAGGGGCCTTTTTAAAGAGCCTCCTGTCTCCGATGAAAAAGAAAGATAGCCTGATATTGATAATTGAGTGAAGAGTCACATCAGACATCATTGGATTTTATCCCTAACTGTACGACAATAGAGGGTGTGGCCCTATATTGAAAGGATGGCAGGCATGAGCCAGCAGGAATGGGGACCTCTTTAGCCCCTTCGTGCTGACTTACAAGAGGTCAGACTGAGGGTGAACCTGGGCTGGACCTTGTGAGAGCGAATGGGTTAGTAGAGGCTGTGTGTGCTCTGCTTGCTTTCTCCAGTGTGTGTGTGTGTGTGGGGGGGGGGGTCCTTCCCATGACCCATCCACATGGCCCACATGTCAAGCCAGTGGGGCCCAGCTCAGGCTGGGTGGGTGACAAAGAAAGTGTCTGCGGGCCAGAGACGCCCAGGGTACACCCTGCCCTCCTCCCACTCCACTTACACCTGCTCAAGCCCTCAGACCGCCTTTCCTGATGCCAGATGCTGGACCATCTCTGCTTTGCCGGGCAGCCCCGAGTCTCCCTCCCCAATGGGGCCCTTTCCCCAGTGGGACCCCGCTACCCCATCTTAACCCTGCACTCCCACCCCGTCTACCTTCCTGCCACCTGAGCAGCCAGTTCGCCTCCCTGTCCATTTTTCTTCACTTTCTCTTTTAACCTTTTCTTCTTTTTTTCCCCTGCAATAGCGGTTTCTTATGGAAAATCCAGATAAACAATACACACATGCCCATAATCCCAACTCCAGAGAGAGAACGATTGTTAACACTTCGGTGTAAACACTTCCAGACTTGTAAAGTTTTGTTGGATTATGGTGTTCACTTCCTGCCGGACCGAACTAAAATAGAGGACCTGGCGGCCCCTACTTCCTCCTTTTGTTTAGCATCTGAACGGCTGTGCTCTGGCTTTAAAAAATGCCTGATAACCGACACCGCCACGATGTGCCAGAACCATTAGCCCTGTGGACCTATGAGGCAGGCACAGCCCAGAACCTCAGGATGCTGGCTGCCCAGGAGGAGGGACAGTGACATTCAACACTCTAACTGCACCCCATTCCAGTCACCGCCGTACCGTGCACAGGAAGAGCCTTCCAGAGCTCCCTGAACTGTCTCATTCTGTCTGGGCTGCTGTCACAAGATACCACCCCTGGGTGGTTTACAAAGCACAGAAACGGGTTTCTCATAGTTCTGGAGTCTGGAAGCCTGAGGCCAGGGTGCCAGCATGGAAGGATGGGGGCCCTTCTGGTTTGCACATTTCTTGTTGTGGCCTGTGGTGGCAGTGGAAGGGGCTAGGGAGCTTCCTGGGGTCTCTTTAGTTAAGGGCACTAATCCCATTCGTGAGGGTGGCTCACCTTCCCGACCTAATTGCTCCCCGAAAGCTCCACCTCCCAATACCACCTTGGGTATTAGTTTTTGACATATGAATTTGGGGGGATTGCATTTGGACATTAGCCCCAGGCTCACCTGGTTAGGTCAGGGAAGCTGCTGCAAAACACGAGCCCTAAGTGGGACCTGAAGGGACGTTGTCCAGAGCAGAGAAGGCTGAGGCTGGCCTGTGAGAGGCCTGAGCCAGGAAGGACGGGGAGAAGCTCCCGCATCTGGTCTGTTGAGCCACTTCTGAAGACTCCAGAGACTTTCCCCAAGTGTCCATGAAGACTGAGTGCACTAAAATCATGTGAAGTTCTAGTTTAAAGAAGTGTCTTATTTCCCTCACCAGACCTACTAAATCAGCCTCCTTTTGTTTTTTAACAAGAGCCAGGCATTGGGATACACACCCAAGTCTGAGTGCCCCAGCCCTGACGTCCCCGCTGCCTGTGCTGATGGCCAGGTGCTCTGAGATCACGGGTCTTCCCAGAAGCAGCCCAGCGGGAGCCCCACCAGGGAGACGTGTGCGTGCGGGAGCCCAGAGAGGGAGGAATGAAGGTTAGTTATTGTATTTATCAACTCTATGGGCACATCTCTCCTTCACATCTTAACATCTCTGAAATTGGGACATGCTTACAACCCAAGGCGAGAAATAATTTAACCAATAGTATTTTCCTCCTTCTTAATGATGGAACAAACAATGGCATGTCGTGTAGGTTTGCTGGAATATGGTGGTTGTCTCCCCCACTTTCCAGCCTCTCCTCCTTCTCCACGCAGCGTACCCGCCCAGTCAGAACTAAGCTCTTCCACTCAGGCCAGAGACATGCTGTGGGCACGTGCTGGACGCCATGCTGGTTTACGTCATGGCAACATGCCTTCCGTGGTGACTGTTTTCTCCCTGACACTGTTACCTGTTTTCTTGTGGTTTCTGTTTCATTTGTGCTCCTAGTCACGAAGTCCAACAAAAAAATGGAAGTGTTTCGGGGCTGTGTCTTCTTCAGCAGAGATACCTCTGAAAGTAAAAATCTCAGAAAACCAGGGCAGAAAGTTCAGAACTCCCCCACTGCGGCCAGAAGGAACTGAAACAGTTAGAAAGGTGGAATGTTCGGTGGCAAACCTGCCATCAGCACTGCTCTGGGCAGCTCCGGTTCCCTGTGGTAGGCTGCAGGGTCTCCCAGGCCTGCAGGGTCCTATCTCAGGCAGAAGGGCAGCAGCATGGCTGCTCCGGGGACTTTCCAGGGAGGATGCAGGTGCTCGTGCAGCTCCAGCCACCTCCAGGGCCACCGGCCCGGCCCCTCCCACCCTGAGGACTGCTGGGCCCTGGACGTAGATGCCCTGAGTCCACAGCCTCTGCCTCTGCAGGTGTGATGAGTGTCCGCAGGACACAGAGGAGGGTGAAGAAGACTGCTGTTCTCAGCACCCAGGAACTTGGCACCTAGATTCCCGTGTTCACCTTTCACCTCACACCTTTTCTCCTCACCAGGGCCAGCGATGTGGCAAATCATTTCCTTCCCCTGGAGGTGCATCACCAGAGAAAGCCAGGTTTTGCATTTGACAGGCCCCAAGATTGGTCTGCAGAGGTGGCTGCTTATAGCTGGCCCTTTTGGTCTCGTGATTGCTCTCTCCTTGGAAGGCAGGCACTGTCACATACTCGCCATTTGGGGCAGCATGTTTAGTCTTTGGTGAGACAAAATCTTCAGTGCTGCCTGCAAGGCTCCCATCACAAAGCTTTCCGCAGAGACGTGGGAGGCATAGGAACTGCTCTATATTGCTGGTTGGTGAGCATCCACCCACTCTGGGGCTAATGCCTTGAGGTAGTTTAAGTATGGCAGAGACAGCTGGTTGCCAGTAAATAACTGTCATCACTCTCTTTATTAGTAATAAAACATTTTTATTCAGACCCACAATGGTACCGTTTAAAAGACAACACTTCCCAGCCTCCCTTGCAGCGAGTTTGACCATAGGATTAAGTTCCAGCAAATGGAATATAAGCAGAAGAGCTTTGGATTGCCTGAAAGTCTCTTTAAAGGATGCTAAGGAGAATTCTTCCTGCTATTAGCCACCTGGAATTTGTCTAAGATGGCTGGCACCCCAGCAGCTATCTTGGACCATGAAGTCACCTTAAGGGTGGAAGCCACTGTGTGAGGATGCCGGAGCAGAAAGATACAGGGAGACTGGCTCCCCAGTTGCCATGGAGCTAACCTGCTAGACTGCCTGCCTCTGATTTCCTTGGAAGTGTGAGGAAAATAAGCCTTTATCCTCTTTTAAGTCATGGTAGTTTCCAATGTTCTGACATAAGCAGCTGAAACTGACACTAACAAATGCATTCAGTATTATAAGCTGTTGCTTTATACTTTCCTGACTGACTGATGATCATTTTCTCATCCACCAGGAGTATAGCAAGCTAAGATAAACAGTGCGGACTTTGGGGTATTGAAATACGTTTGAATCCCTCTTGCTGATTGCTGCATCTGTAAGGAGTTATTCATCTTCTCTGTACCTGTTGTGTCTTTTAAAATGGTGTGCATTAAATTAATCAATGCATATAACATACCTGGCACATAGTGGGGGCCTGGCAATGTTAGTGTTAGTGTCCCTGTCTTCCCTTCATCCCATGTTGAGCATTTATTTTAAATATGTCAAAGAAACAACAGCTAAATGCACACTTGGGTTGATTTCTCCACAAGCTCACCCTGCTGTCATACTCTTAGAAATACGCCAGTGCAGTTAGGCAAGGTAAAAACATCCAATTAACATAGCAGGAAGCACAGGACTGAGAAAGGCAGCCGAGAGAACACTCAGGGGAGCCTCCATGTGATCAGGCACAGACCTCCTGTAGCTCAAAGAAGCACTGGGTTTTCCAGCTAAATCCAAACCAGAGGTCCATGGGGCCTGGGAGGGCTGGCACGGTTTTCCATGGAGCTGTTGTCCCCCAAATTCTAAGCAATGGGGTAACTGACAGCATTTCCAGCCTGTAAAATAAATACGAGCTGACCTGGGGGAAGATTTATGTGTGGGGTAGAAGCTTAGCCCGTGAGACCCAAACATCTCTGAGCCCGAGTGCATTTGAAAGGACACCAAGCAGCCAAATGGTGAGAAAGGCAGTCTGCAGACACTGGATGAATGCCTTGGGCTGACTGTCAGGCTCATTAACACCCCAGTGCCCTGCTCCAACCTAAGAAAAACATGTTGGGAGACTTCAAGGTTGTCAGCCTCTTGGCTGCTCCGTGGCCATGGCACCAGGGAGAGAAGCGTGATGAGTCACTGGAACAGGGAGGGACCCCCTGGTGAAAGAAGCAATGGCGGGGCTCCCTCCCCCGGGGACCACTCGGCCCTCAGCTCCACATAGCCACAGTTTGGGAATCACTACTCCTGGGCCCTCTGGGCAGGGCAAAAGACTCTATGGACTTCCAGTTTGCCCCCAAAATAGTTATATAATCTTAAAGTTGGAAGAAACCAGCTTAGTTCAATCTCTGTTCTCCACTTAGGAAGTGTTCCAGAGAGAGCAGAGGAGGTGGCTGGCCACAGCTAGTTAACACAGAGCCAAGCCCAGGACTGGGTCCTCTGGTTCCCAGGCTGTACAATTCATCTTACAGTATTAATTTGGTCAGAGGACTTCTTTTTCTGTAGTATTTTAACATGTGGACCCAGTGGTCAGCCCTCAGGGTCTTACTTTAAAGCCTGCATCTCCTCAACATGGTCTGAGAGTTCAGACGACTTCCTGCAGGGGCCCTGGAACACTCGAGTGTGAGACCTGCACACGGGGAGCCGAGGGGAGGACACGGACCTCGGTCGGGAACAGCTACTGGAAAAGAGAAGGAGCTCAAGTTGGAAAGGGGGACCGAACTTTAAAACTCGAAAACAACGGCATATACGTTTATCGAGCTACTGGGAACGAACTGAGAGCAGGTGCCTCTGCTTCCGGAAACGTGGCACTAGACATGAGGAGAGGGGTCTTCGAACAGGGACCGGGGCCTGCATTTAAAACCTCCAAGTTGCCAGACACTGACTTGCTTTCCCCCTGGACCTGAAGTTCAGGTCCACGTTCACCTTCCGTGCACTGAACGGCCAGCGTGCCAGGGGCCTTTCTGTATATTTGATTCTTATATTCAAGGAGTGAGAGAGGTACCGTATTTTTCAGACTGTAAAATGCACTCCCCCCAAATTTGGGAGGAAAGAGGGGTATGTCTTATAGTCCAAATATAGCTTTACATTTACATTGGTGAAATATTATGTTATTTGTGTTATTAAATATTTTACCACATTTTTTGCTTCAAATTTTTCCCACTATTTTCCTCCTCTAAAACCAAGTACGTCTTATGGTCTGAAAATATGGTAGATGTGGAAACAGAATCTGGGGAAGAGACATGTACAAGGCCACACGTTAAAATTCAAACCCAGTCCCCAAGTGGATCCCAGGCCTCTTCCCACCACATCAGCAAGCCCCTGTGAGGATCACAAAGTGGAGCACCAACACCCAGGAAATACCTGGTGGAGACCAGCGGGGCTGGAACGTCTCGGGCCACCTGACCCTGTACCGACACCACCAGGGCTGTGCCCATGCAGCCGGCTGCCTCCGGGGTCAGCCTTTAAGGCCCACGGGACAGCCAAAGACGATGAGCATGGGAACTTTCATGCAACGTCTTTATTTGGGACGTGTGTCACGGAGCAGGCCAGCCATCCTGAAACAGCAAGTCCTTACATTACGCAGAGCAATACAAGAGCTCCTTTAAGACATTCAAATGTGCCGTGCTGGTGTCACTAGTCTTCACCCACCTTCACCTCTCGTCACCCACCACAAGGCCTCTGGCACCACCTGCTCTGGGGGCCAGACCACAGCCGGCCTCTGGCCAGCACTGCTTGCCTTTCCTGGGACCCTCCCCACCTGCCTGTGCCTTGATGGTGCCCGAAGAAATGCTGTACAGTTACCGAGTTCCTGAAGACAGGGCCTTGTCTTCACCACATTTTAGAAGGTCTTGTTCTTTTTTTTTTTTTTTGAGATGCCTCTGCTTAGCTATACTGTCAGGCATGCATATGCATTGGGGGGCTTGAATTTCAGCTGATTCAGGTGAAGAATAAGTCCCTCATTGAGTTTATAATCTGTAAATTACTGCTCTTCTCCCTCACTGAGACATGCGGTTTTCATTTTTAATTTCTGCCATGTGCTTCTCAATCTTTTGTCTCCCTCTTGCTCTGTGACAGTAAACGGCTGTGCCTGGGCCCGCCGTGGGGAGGGAGAGGGCAGCAGGACAGAAGGGCTGCCCCTCTGGCTCAGCTGCAGGCCCAGGGCCTAGCTTCCACTTGGGAAAGGGGTGAATGGTTGGGAGAGCGCTCCTCCTCACCCCCAATCAAGGCAATGGGACGAATGGCCACACTTGCCTTTGGGTTAGAGTTTCAGTCAGAGGCCATAGTACAAGGATGTCCCTGTCCTCTGCAGTAAACACAACTGTGACAGGGGGTCTCAAAAGTCAAAGCCAGGAATCTGCAGGCGCTCTGCCAGCCTCGCCACACTGCTGATGAACCCGAGGATTGTTTCAACGGGCAGTCTGCTAGGCCACCCCGACCTTCCCATGAGGCCCCCGTCTGAATTACAGTCTTATCCACTCCTTACCACGCAGGCTGGGGACCCTCTTTCTTTAATGCTACTTTATCATCTCCCCTTGGTGGGTCCCACAGTGGGCCAACCCACCATCCAGGAAAAGGACCTCCCACCATGCAGACTCTTGAAGGTCACTTGGAATGTGTCTCTTAAATTCTGTCCTGAGTAGCAAACTCTCCTCCCACGAACAGATGTACAGAATCTGCAGTGAAAAACAAAGAGAAAATGCAGAAATCCCCCAGGCCTGCTAGACTGGCTTCAGCTTAAGAAACACACTCCCACCCTCACTCCGTCCCAAGCTCCATCCCCTGCACAGGCAGATCTAGCAGAACAATGGTCCCAACACTGAAGCAACTGCATACAAGAACTCTGAAATGGGAGTGTTTCTCTAAGCTCAGACATTTAGAGAGAATTCTGCTGCACTGATCACTTTTCAAGAGATGATAACCTGATACTTAACTGCGTATTATTTAATCACTTTAAACAAAACAAACAAAAGAGGCAACACACACACACACAGTCCTTGGGGGTCACAGATGCAATGGCAGGTCAATCTCATCTTCCATCCGTCCCTTCCGCTCAGGGCTGGGAGGCAGCTCTGTCACCAGTGGGTGGGCTCATCGTTTTTCCTCAGAAGCCCTCGGCCAAGCTTCTACCAGAGTCAGTCATTGCGCTGCCACACAGAGTGGTCAGGGTCTAGTTCAGAATCAGTGGAGTTTAAGCACTTGAACTTCCACCGACACCAGCCCTTCACCAACAGTCAGATGAATAGGAAATGTTCTACTTAGAATCTCCACATGAATTAAAACTGCAACCTATACTTCCAGTACCCCCACCAGATCTCAGAGAGTAGCCATTCTTAAGTGACTTTTAAAAAAGAAATTCAAATAGTTGTGGACAACATGAAGAAGGATTTTGAAGCTGCTGCAGTCAGGGGCTGTGTGTACATTTAAGGGGTTTTCTGTGGTTTGCAGAAACATAAGGTTGAAAAATGATAATAAAGATATTTGGTTTTCAATCATTGAGAATCTTCCTTCAAAGAGGTAATTAGAGCTATATTACTAACATATTTTCCTTTTGCAAATTAAGAAATACAAATACATTTCATATGTAATTCTTCATATAATTTTTAGTCCAAATGTTAAAAATTAGAACTTTTAATTTAATTGTACAAGCCCTAAATTATTAAACACCAAAAGTTAGTCATTCATATGACAGAAACAATGACAAACATAAAAGACAAAAAGTTTTTTTCAGCCACAAGTAATACCAAAGACATATGTATATATGAGCAATAGAAATAATAAAAGACTGATTAGCAATCAGTTCAATACCTTTGGGAAATTTCTGATTAGACTGTATTATTTCCCTCAGAATATGCAAGTTTAAAAGTCAAATTTTCAAAGTTACCTTCCCTTCTCCCCCAAAAGATTTATTTGCAAGTTGGAATCCAGAAATAAAGCTTAGAAGTATAAATATTGATAATATCAACTAAATTCAGAATGGTTTCAGAAAGCTATAATACAACAACTTAGAAAGAAACAAAACAAGAGTATCATATTTTGGTTTGTTTGTGATATACATAAGGTACAATAATTGTTTCTCTTTACCCTTCTCTTTCTCTTGAGGAATAAGCTAAAATTATTTCTTTTCCTTAAAAGAAGTCTTTACATGGGATCAACAAAATTTAGAAGGAAGTCAGAACAGAGTTCATTTATATGTACATTGTACAATATATGTGTCTCTTTGTATATGCACATACCTATCTGCTTATGTATATATCCGCCTACCTTCTTACACTTGCATTTAAAAAGGGAAGCAGGATACCCACAAGACCCCCAGGCGACCACCCTCATTAGTTCTGGTCAGATAACTTAGGTGATTCACTGACTATAACACAGTAATAAATCTCTTATCCAGTAAATGTTTCCCGGGAAAAACAATGTAAGCTTCTCCTAGCGGAGACCTGGCCCTTCTCTTTGTGTTGTGAAAACAAGAGCCTACTATAACTTTTCACAAGAGCCAAAAATCTGGAAAGAAGTGACCCAAGACTGTGGATAAGTATATTTGAAAAGATTTTTTAGAATTACTTAGATTCTGTGTTGTTTATTACAGTCCAAATACATGAAGTTCTTATGAAACAGAATCATATGGTACAGATAAAAACAGGCGTGGAAGCCCAGTCAGAGCTGTTTTAGGGCCAAATTGCAGACCACCCAGCAGTTCACATTTTAGGAATTTGAAATGTCTAAAAATAGATAAGGTGGCTTCTCAAAAAAAAAAAAAAAAAAAAGGAAAGAGAAAAGTAGAAATGAAAAGAAAAAGAAAAAGGGAGGGAAGAGACAAGAACGTATTCAGGAAATGCTAGCTAACGAGAATACCTTACTTAGAAAGAATAGGCAAATGCATAACAAATGCATAAACTTTGTGCAGGTTAATGCAATAGTAAACACAGTAGAATACATAGGCCTCATAATACTTTTACAATGGCATATTTAAAACATCTCTAGCACTTTAAAAAATATGCAGAGACTAATTAAGGATCATTCTAGACAAAAATACATATTTCTTAAAGGGACAGAGGGCGAGGGGAGGAAAGTATGGTCTCAGGGCAGAGCCCCATAGATATACAGAGATGAAACTATGCTTTTTGGTAATTCTAGTGGACATGGCGGCAAAAATTATCATAAGGATGCTGGCTGGTTTTGAGAGGGTTATATAACCTTGTAGCTATATTTGTAAAAAAAATTTTTGTTAAAAGTTTATTTGATAAACCCTGTAAAATGTCTCTATTGACATCTTTTTCTAAGGTAAACCAGGAATAGCAGAATTGTGAATGGATAAGGGGTATATGCTTTAAAGCAAAGGTGAACCCTCTCTGGGTCCCTCTCACACAACGGGATACAGATTCTTAAATAAAATAATACTTCCTTATAAATCTGCCACCTAACAACTGTTTACAACATAGAAAAATAGCATTTTTGTAAAAAGAAATATAGTCACTTTGTTAAAATGGTCTATTTCAAACCAGCAATTATTTTTCATATAAAGAATTTCTAAGTGTCCATACAGGAAATAAAAATAGATAATACTGAGTGCAAAGCAGATGATGGCATTGTTTGCAGACGATCCTAGTATTTCATTACCAGATAAATAATACTCTTAGTACATTATAGCAAGTTTTAATCTTTTAGAAACTTAAAAAGATATTGCTTTTAGTCTCTGATGGCAAGTTACTTATAAGTTAAGTTACTCCCAGCAGCAGAAGGCCAAATTGATTAGAAATGGATCTCAGATATGCTCGTTCACATTTCCCCTGAAGTCAAAGTGCAGAAACACCGGGAAAGGGCCTGCGTCCCACACTCCTCCACGCGAGCATGGACCGCAGGCCCTGGGGATGTGAAGGGGAACTCATGACATTCACGACCCTTTCAAAATCATTCCCTCTGTCGTCCATGTTCAGATTGTCACAGAACCAGATTAACACCAAACTATTTACCAGCTTGGCTAAATCCATCATGCAGGAGAGTCTATGGGACTCTTTTCTAAATAGGTATTAACTCTTCATGTTACAAAAACAGGTGATTTCAACAGACTACTCCTTTACTTCCACAAAGCGACTCTGTAGCCATGGAGTCTCCTGGCAGCGGTGGTAACGGACGTCACAGTGCACTACAAGCCAGCAGTGTCTACTGACACACGGACAAGCTGGCTGACAGACGAAACCACAGGACACGCAGTCAGCAAATACGGCAGGCGGGCACTTCACTGCCATCTCATCACACTCTCTCCACTCTGCTTGGGTCATATGAGTCTGCAAAAAAAAAAAAAGATAGAAAAGAAAACGAGGGGAAAATTCAACTGGTTTGTTCCTGGTTTAATTCTCAGTGCATAAATAAATAAGTTTAGGTAGCAAAATCTGTTTCAATAATTTTGCTTGCACTGAGAAGAAAGCTGTTATCACTGAGTTGAATGTGTGTGATCTTTCTCTAATCACACATGAAAAAAATGTGAGTTGCCCTTAATATTTTGATAGTCCCTTCCTGATGTTGATAGAGAAACATAATTAGCCTTAAATGCAATGCCTGTTAACCAGCAGAGGTGTGCTCAGCTGGTGCTAAGGACTGTTTAATTATTTTTTGTAAATTACAACTCTAATGAAAGTTTGCCTTGCAGTGTGCATCTTCGTGATCAAATGCGGTCACAGCAGAGCTCGAGGACCCTGAAATCCTGACTGCTGGGCCTCTGTCTCTGACTGCCAGCACCCGGTAGGCTGGACCAGGGCTGGACACAGGCCTGTTAGCACAAATCCTCGGGGCCTTCCCCCACACAGGTGAGTGAGTCTGGGCCATCCAGGGGTCCGTTCTGTAGCCCACACTGAAAAGTCCCAAACTGGGCCCAGATGGCACAGATGACACAAAAAACAACAGTCCTAAACTGCCATCAGTACTGTGCCAGGGGACGCTAAATCTGACCCCCTGGGAGTCACAGATCTCTGGGTCCAGGAAGACCCGAAGCACACACATGTGCCTCCCATGTTCAGGAATTCCTGCCATAGCAGTTCATAACTGTTCAGGAGAAAACACATTAAGAAATATGGAAGGATGGTACAATTTGATAGTCGTAGAAACTATTAGAAACAATTGCTTCTTAAGACCTCTAGAAAACTGCATCCTGAAGCCACACAGATCCCAATGTCTCCAGGAGCACGTCCTCCTTGCACCGGCTCCATTTCGCCATGACACATTCACGACACGAGGCCAGTGTGACAACTAAGACAGCATTTAGAGCACTCCGAGTCTGACGTTACAAACCAGAGAGGGCGGTTGCTACGTTTGGGAGAGGAGCTCGCTGCTCGTCAGACATGCTTCACGCACAAAGTGCCCATCAGGCGAAAGGCAGCGGAATTCACCAGCCGGTGCCTTCTGACGTCTCACAGGACATCACCCGGTGGGACAGCAGAGGGTCTCACCAGCCGAGAGCCACACTTCGGTGTTCAATCAGCCTCACAGTGAGCTGATTCTGAGAGGGGCCGCCTGGGAGTGAAGACCTCTGCTTCTCCGCTGGGAACGAGGTGGGCGGTCCCTCGCGGAGGGCTCTGGAAAGGGCACCCCGCAGCTGTGAGAGGCTGGAGAGACCTGGAGCAGCGAGGAAGCCTCTTACTACATGGACCCGGGGCACTGACCAGCCCCCTCAGGGCTAGATACGGGGACACCTCCACAGCACGTGCCTCCACCCCAGAGCCCCACAGTAGAAGTTGAAGGCCCAGAGACAGAGAGCAGTGAGAGGATTCTGTAGAACGTGGGCTCTTTCCTCGGATCATGGAGGGCCCAGGCCTAGTTTACATTTTCTAGTAGCCACATTAGGCAAAGAAAAGAAATCAGGTGGAATTAATTTTAATGATGCATGTAATTTTACCAAATATATCCAAAGTGTCATTTCAGCAGGTAATCGGTATAAAAACTGAGACATGTTAGATTATTTCTGCACTAGGCTCTGAACTCCAGTGTGTATTTTACACTTACGGCCCATCTCCACTTGGATGAGCCACGTTTCAGGTGCCCAAGAGCAGCACGCGAGAGGGGCTAGCCCGGACCTACAGAACACAGAGGGCACCCAAAGATCTGGGGTCCTGGTTCCTGTGGGCGACAGTCCAGGTAAAGACAAGTCACTGAGCCTGGCCTAGTGGTGTTCTGTGTATGAGCGCCCCCTGAGAGACGCACAGATGTCCAGCCTTCCAACGGCGTCACGTGGCGTCGTGCAGCCCCCCGGGTGTCCCCCACAGCGGCCCCGAGGCAGCGTCTCTCCTCACTCTCTTGCCGTGCTCGCCTTGCAGGGGTATATGGAAGTTGAGGGAACCACAAGGTTCTGAACCAGCAGGTTCTGAAACAGTAAGTTCTGAAACAGTGGAGACGGGATTCCATCCCCTGAATTGGTTTTGAGCTGCTCATTTCTTAGCCAGAGCCCAGAAAGTCCACTGGAAAGAGGTTAGCTGAAAAGCCCATCACCAGGCTGAAATAAAGACACTTTATGATGCCAGGTACTACGACACAACATAGATAATAAAGTTCTGAGAGGGGGCGTGGGGGGCAGTTACAGATAAACGTGTTATATTCTTGGTCTGAAATTCCATAACAAAATTTAACTTTACGTGTGCTGTGCACTCAGGGACAGTGAAGTGGTTCTCACACACTGGGGTGATGGAAGAAAGGGTGGGGTGGGGACAGACATGAGGATTCCTGTGTTCAAAATAAAATTTAGCAAAAGGAAAACAAAGTCCAAAAGTTTATCAGCAACAAAGCAACAAGGCTTTATTCTAATCTGTAAAGCAACAATGAGGAGCTTTATATTTATTAAATATAAACTTTAATATATGTCAAGTGGTACCACCTCCATCTTATGGCTCCTCTGGGGAAGGGGGCAGGAGAGGAGGAATCATGCGAAGCCTAATAAACTCCCACAGCTCAAAAATGGGCTGCATAACACTTTTTCCACAGTCTTGGTAATCTCATCCTCAGCAAAGACCAAATCTGTCAGATCCAAGAGGGCCATGAAAAAACAGTTATTTCAATAATGTAGTATTTTGCATAAGGAACAGAGCAACATTGGCTAACAGTCCTAAGAATCATACTGCATTTCTGGGAAAATTTAAAAAGTGCCAAGTAGACTTTTTAACAAAAATTTATGGATTCTTCTAGCTGAAACAAGTGATCTTTTCCATCTACTTTTAAATTCTTGGATTTCATCCTCACTTATATGGTCAGTTAATCTACAACAAAGGAGGCAAGGATATAATGGGGTAAAGACGGTCTCTGCACTAAGTGATGTGGGAAAAACTGGACAGGAACATGCAAAAATAAAATTGGATCACTTTCTTACAACCATATACAAAAATAAACTCAGAGGATTTAAAGACTTAAAGGTAAAACTCAAAACATTAAATCTCCTATAAGAAAATGGGCAGCAAACTCTCCAACATTTCTCTTAATAGTATTTTTTTCTGATATATCTCCTCAGGCAAGCAATGGAAACAAAAGAAAAAGTAAACAGATTAGACTACATCAAGCTAAGAAGTTTCTGCACAGCAAAGAAAACCAACCAGAGGAAAAGGCAATCTACTGAATGGGAGAAGATATTCACTAATGATACATTTGATGAGGGGTTAATTTCCAAAATATATAAGAAAGTCATACAACTCAACACCAAAAACATTAAACAATCTAATTAAATAATGAGCAGAGGACATGAACAGACCCTTCTCCAAAGAGGACATACAGATGACCAACAGACATGAGAAGATGCTCATTATCACTAATCATCAAGGAAGTTCAAAGTCAAACCACAATGAGATATCATCTCACACCTGTCAGAATGGTTGTCATTAAAAAATTGACAACAAGCACTGGTGAGGAAGTGGAGAAAGGGGACTGTCATGCACCGTTGGTGGGAATGCCGACTGGTGCAGCCACTGTGGGAAACAGTACGGAGGCTCTCCAGAAAATTAAAATTAGAGCTGCCGTATGATCCGCAATTCCACTTCTGAGTATTTATCCAAAGAAAACAAAAGCACTAACTCAAAGAGATACATGCAACCTTATCTTCCCTGCAGCATTATTTATAATAGCCAAGTGCCCATCAGTAGACAAGGAGATAAAAAAGTTGTGGTACATACATACAATGAAATATTACACAGCAATAAGAAAGAATGAACTCTTGCCACTGTCACAGCATGGATGGACCTAGAAAGTTCTATGCTAAGTGAAATAAGTCAGGTAGAGAAAGACAAATACCGTATGTTTTCACTTGTATATGGAATCTAAAAAAAATGAATAAAGAAAACAAAACAGGACAGTCCCACAGACACAGGGAACAAGCTGATAGTTGCCAAAGGGGATGGGAGGTGAGGGCAATGGGAGAAAAAAAGGAAAAGAATCACAAAGATCAAATCTATTTCTAAGCAAGTAAGAGGAAGCTGAAAAAAACACTGACATTCTGAACTCTAAAAATGGAGATGTTTAGATGACGTCTGTCCATATGAAAAAGTAAATAAACAAATAAACCCTTGGATTTCGAAACAGAAAACAGAGGAGCGGGGCGGGGGGGCCACGCTGCTGGGGCAGCCCAGGAGATGGAAGGGCCAGGAGCAGGAGGTCGGGCAGGGGTCTGAGGCAGCACAGTGACACTCGCCTCAGGGGCCACGGTTTCCCCTACTGTGAAAGGGTCTGAATGAATGACCTAAGGTCCCTTCCAGTCTGTGGTTTATGACACAGACCTTTTGAAATCTACCTCAGCTCTTCTTCTGATCATTTTTGCACATGTAACTGACCATCTCCAGCCCCTGACAAAAACGTCTGACACAGAGATGCCCAGAGGTCTCCTGGCCTATCTGTGTCATAGCTGGGATGATGACACTGTGCTTGAGGAAGATCACGCTGTTCCTGTCATTGGGAACCTACCTGGTGGCTTGATGAAACAGAAAAGGCTCTAAAGATGCCCTGAGTGAGAGGATGGAGAGGCCCAAAGGCCTGCAGGGTGCTGTGCCAAAACCATCTCGCCTGGGATTTCAAAATCAGAACTTAGGGGCCTTTAAGAAACAGAGTTAATGAGCGAAATTTTTAGGGGTGGGGTGTTGAGAAAGTGAAAACTTATTTTTTGTTTACTAAAGATTCATAAAGGGTGTGGTAATGAAAACACAAAAATGGGGCGGGGGTGGGAGTAAAAGAATTTGGAAGGTGAAAGGTGAGACACAGCATCATGGGGCAGGTAGTTTATTTAAATCAACCTGTGTGTCTGTTCTCATTAGGTTAACAAAAGCGAAGAGGGTTATCTGGGCGAATGCCACTATTTGGGAGAGAGCACAGAGCACAGATGCTGTGGTCTCCTTACAGGATTTATCAAGGTGCCTGCACCAAAGTTAGAACACTTACTGACGTAGCTTGTCACAGTAAAGGGCCCAGAAAGTTTTTATATGGGTACTTTTATACAGCAATTAATGTAAATAATTTCTATAAAGACATAATCATTTAAAGTATATTACAAGACTTGATTTTTAAGGAAGGCTTCTAGACAATTCTTTGTAAAATGAAGACTCTTTTGGTACAATAATTCACAGGATCAATTTTTTCTTTTCTGAATATACAAATGTTCATTATCTACCAACCTGGTATTTTTTATGCCCCAAGGACTCCAAATTAATACTGAACCCTTGCCACTTGCCTGACTCCTCACCTGGGCACCAGAAGTCCTGATCCAAGCTCTTCTTCTCCCTTCCTGCTGCCAGATGCCCATTCTCTTCCAGTGGGCGGGCACCCTTGCAGACAGAGAATGCACTTCCCGCCTTCCAGGCCAGGTCCCCAGTGGTCAGAGATGCCAGGCCTCCCGGCTGAGCCCCTGGGCCCCTCTCAGCCTTCAGTTCCTCGGCGTCCTCCATGGAGCCCGCGCTCCGGGAGCTCAGGAGCCTCATCCGAGACATAGAGCTCACCTCTTTCATCCTCATCGAGCGGTCTGGGTCAGCTCTCCTGGGGGGAGAAGCCAGTTTCTCCTGTAAACTTTCAATCACTTTGGAAGTACTTCTGAGCCTCCTTTCTGAGCCTGCCACACTCGAAGTCCTTTCTATAAAGTGGAACAAAGTGGACCGGAATGGTGGTTTTGTCTCCGTGTCCTTGTGATGGAAGGGCTTGGACTCCAGGGCACAGGGCTGAGATTCGGGGTCGGGGGCTTTGCTGGGGATGGCTCCATCTACACCTGAGCACTCAGAAGTCCAGGGCACCCGTTGGGCACTGTCCCTTTCCCCTACAAACAGAGGGCTTTTGGTCCAGCCACACTTTCTCCTGCCATAAAAGGCATCAGTGGACTCTCTGGGGTCATCCAGCTGTGCTGGGCTGGATACCGGCTCCTCCTGAGGGGACACTGACCTGCAGGCACTGCCATCATGCTCCAGGTGCTGGTTTTGTCCTGTTCCCCTGGCGCCCGGCAGCAGGGACTCCACTGCCACCTCAATGCCCAGGATCCTGGCAGCCCTCGCTTGAAGGGACTCGTTTGGGGGGATTTCTATTGCACTCGCTTCACCTGAAGACCTATCCAATTCATTGGCACTCTGCTCTTGGGCTGGGGTCAGCCCCACAGACCTCAGGTCTGGGGCCGAGAGTCCTCGAGGTTTGTTGGTGAGAGAGAGTGGGACCGCTGTGTCCCTGTGCTCCCCATCACCAGGCTTCGGAGGGGCTGCTTTGCTCAGCTCCACAGACCTTAAAACACTGGGGAGTTCCTGCCTTTGCTGGGGTTCCCTCAGTTCAGTGGGATGGGATGAGGACGCTGTGTCACTTGACCCAGAAGACATCACTCTTTTCACAGGACCTGGGCTGAGTGCCAGCTCCTTTATTCTTTTCCCAGCGTCCTGGTTTCTCTTCTCCACAATCAAGCTCCCCTGTGCTGACAGCAACGCTTCACGCCTGCCATCTTCCACCCGCGAGGGGCCCAGGTATTGCGGATAAGAACCCTGGTGGCAGGTGGCAGGCTTCTGCTCCTCACTCCAACTCTCGGACTTACTCTTCACCCTTCCCGACCCGAACACAGGCTCCCCCAGCACCAGCCTCCTTGGCGGTCCCTCCGCCCTCCTTTCCTGGCTGTCTTCACTGAAGCCCAAGCTCTTGGCTGTGCCATCAGCATGGCCCGCTGGCTGCCATTCAGTCTCACTGTCCTCACTGCCACTGCTGCTGTGACTGCTCTCTTCCTCTTCCTGAAGCTCCTTGTTAAAACTTTCTAACTGACTTATCAAATCCCAGGGGCGACGGCTGACTGGTTTTAAAAGAAACTGCCCAAACAGCTGCTGACTATTGCATGGACCTGTGGTTGCCCCCTTCACCACCTCGCTTCTGGATGTGGGGCTGGCTCCATGTCCATGGCCATCTGTGCAGGACTGACTACGGCCCACTTTTGGCACAGGGGCCTGGTTTGCGAATAAGGAAGTCCTTGAGAAAGCACTGTGGCTAGAAAGGTTGAGGGACAGTTGACCTTTCAGATGATGAGCATTTGGCCTCTGGTACTGGTCACTGGAAGCCAATGCCGTGCGCATCTGAGCTTTGGAGGCAGTAGGGTCTAGAAATGTGGGAGTCAGCTCTGCATTAGGTGACCCTTCTGACTTCTCAGCAGGGAGGGGCTTCGGGCTTTTGGATTCTTCCGTGAAAGTGGTTTGTGTTTGCTGATCTCTGTACTGGTGCCCTGGCCACGAGCCAGAATACTGGAGTTCTCTGTGTTTCGTGGGGTGAATGAATCTGAGGTCATTTGTTTGTCTGCCTTCTCCGGGTTCCCCCAGCTCTTGCTTTGGGAACTCGGTTCTCCCGGCCATGCTTCCTGTGAGAGCCTGCAGCTCCAGGTCAGTGGAAGACATGCTCAGCAGGCTCTGCTCTTGCAGGGCCATGCTCTTATTGAGCCCATGCTTTTTATCAGTACTCTGCTTTAAGTCATTGTTGTTCGAATCTGTATCTGGCAGATGTGATTCTGATTTCACTGGGATGGAAACCAAACAAAATATCGTCTCGTTCACTTTTTTATTTGAACTTTTCTTGGTCTGAATCCCAGCTTCAAACTTTTTGAGCTTGGTTCGGGTTTCGCAGGTACTCTCGCCCTGTGGGTTTGGGGAGGAGACTTGGCTTTCTGCTTGTCCATGTTGGCTGTCTCTCACATCAGGCCACTGTCCTCTCATCACACAGTGGTCTCTTTGGTCAGGAAAGCCACCATTTTCTCCCTCCCCGGGGAGCTGGCCCCACAGCCACCGGGGACTGGGGTCGGCAAGGGCATGGCCTCTCTTACTCCCTGGTGGTGACATGACGCTCCGTGGGTTCAAAACGGCACCATCACGGTGCATGTTTCCATGAGCTGGCTCAGGGGCAGAGACCAGACCGGAGTTGTGCAATTTCTCATCCACCTTTGTTTTTTCACGGAAACCCTGGTGTCGGGACAGTTTAATGTGTCGTATCCGTGGGTCATCAAAGGGAATGTAGAGAACGGATCCGTCACAAGCAGTGATGGGATGGGACTGTTGTGAGAAGCTCTGAGGAGAGTGTGGGCTCCCGCCATCCTCGTTCCCAGTTGCAAAGGAGCCAGAAGGAAGCTGATAGCTGGCAGCAGCCTCCTCAGTCGGATGATGGCGCCCATCACACACCCGCTCGGGCGCCGCGTCCTCCAGGTAGGGGTTTGGGATGTGCTGGGGCGGCGACCTGTATGATGGAGGAGGCACGTACATGGGTGGCTCCAGACCAGCGTCGGGCAGGCCGAGCTCCTGCCGGGGGTGATTAGTTCTGGTCAAGTAGGGGTCACTCAAGTCTGTCTGCTGGCTGTCCAGACAGTCGCTGTTCTCCACTCCTCCCCTAGAGTGTTGGTGGGAGTCGTAGGATGGAGGCTTGAGGGGTCTCCCAAACTTTGGCCAAGGTAAAGGGGCTGAGGAGCCACCCTGCTCGGGGTTCCCTGTGGGTTCCAAATTCGGTGCACAATTTGGAGGGTAAAATGGCATTTTAGGGATGCCTGGTAAGTGCCCATGGCTTAGTGGAATTTCCGTGCAGCTCAGGCTCTGGGGCGAGAGAACTCTAGGCAATGACCGGGATTTTCCTTTGCTCTGGGCATTCAGCACGTGTTCTCCTCGCACGAAAGGGTATAGATCTTGAAACAGTTTCTCCCCATCACCATCAGACATCTGCCTTCCTAACCTCCTCGGCTGGTTCCAGCTTTCCATGCTTACATTCCGCCACTTGGCGGGACCTGCCACTCTCAGCTCATCTTCCCAAACCGCCTTCTTCATCACATTCTCTGTCCTTCCTCCAACTTCCCATGGACCCTCCCTCACGTGGACCGGCAGGCTGGGGGCTTGGGCCACTCCTCTGACCTCCAGGTCTTCTCGGTCTCTGGGACCCCGCATGCCACTGGCTTCCTGTCCTCTTCTCCAATAGGCGTGGTTGTGACCGCCCTGGTGCTGGGTGGACCACGCTGGCATGGGTGGATGATAAAACCTACAAAACAAAGGGGCACAAGTTACACCGAGGGAGGAAGCGCACACTGCTTCTGTGACTGGTGTTCCCAGTCACGCGAAGGTTAGTGCTTTGAAAAAATAGAGTCCCAACCAGAGTACTTGTCGACTTTAAAGAAAACACATCCCACTAATTATGGCTGGAAGGCGGCCATGGGTTTTACCATCCAAGGGCCCAGGAGTGGCAGCCACAGGCTGCCCACGAGACAGGAGGACACTGGGTACACTTGAGAGATGTGGAGGCCCTTACAGCTTTGAATGCCCATGGGAACAAGGGTAAGCCTGAGAGCAATGATTCCCAAGTGTGGTCTAGGGCCACCAAGAGCCTGCTCCTGGCTCAGCCCAAATCACTGAACTCTCGGGGGAGCCAGTCTGGGAACATGCTTTTCACAGCCCCACCCTATAGCACCGGTTCTTAAACCCCACCGTGTGCAGGAATCACAGGAGGGCTGCTAAGGCACAGACTTCTGGGTCCCATCCCCAGTTCCTGATTTGGCAGGCCTGGTGGGGCTCCACAAAGTGCATTTTTAATTATTCTTTAAGTTTCAGGTATGCAACATTATAATTCAGCATCTGTATACACTACAAAGTTTTTACCCCCAAAAGTCTAAGTATTATCCATCACCGTACAGTTGATCCCCTTCCCAGCTTTAGCCCATCCCCAAATCTCTTATCCTCTGATAACTACACATCTGTTCTCTGTATCTATGAGTTACTGAAACAATGATACACTACTTAGCCATAAAAAAGAATAACATCTTGCCATTGCAACAACATAAATGAACCTTGGGGATAAAATTCTAAGTGAAATTAGAGAAAGACAAATACTGCATGACACCCCCATATGTGGAACATAATGAGCATTTCTAACAGGGCCCCTGATGCTGCTGATGCTGCTGGTCCCAGCACCCCACTTTGGGAATCACCATGCCCGTGGTTGTCCACCATGACTGTGCATCAGAATCCGGAGGGACTGTATAGCTCCTGATACTCAGGCAGTATCTCAGCTCCAACTCATTCGAATGGTGGAGGCAGGAGGGGGACCAGACATCAGTGTCTCCCCAGGTTCCCCAGGAACCCCCAGTGTGCAGCTGGGACAGAGCCATGACTCTGGCAGAGTTCCCACACCTCCCTCATGGTGAGAATCATCAGTGGGTTCATTAAAGACTCACATAACCAAGTCTCTCCCCCTGGAAGGCAGCTTCAGGTAGGGGCTAGGGGTGCAACTGTGTTTTAACAAGCACCCTGAGGGAGCCTTCCCTTCAGACAATGTGGGAAGTACTTCCACGGCTGCCTCTGAGACTGACCGGAGGAAGAGGGGGCTCTGTTCATGGGCAGAACTCCCTGCCAGGCAGGAAATCGTGCACAGTGCAGTGTAAGTGCCAGCCTAGTTCCAGGCTGCTGTTCGCCACCTGGCTGCCCTTCAGAGTCTCGTGAGCCTTTGGGAAATTTCAGTGCCGGGGTAGGGGTAGAAGGGCACTAGATGAAAGAAGGTGAAAGAAATTAGCCAAAGAACATACATGCATGGCCTGGGGACATGTACAACGGTGTGGTGATGGCCTGAGTGGGGGCTGGGTGGAGGAGGGCAAAAAGGAAAAAGCGGGGACATCTGTAACAGCATGAACAATAAAACACAAAGAAAAGAACATCGATGCCTAGGGCCTGTCACCTTACACTTGGATCTAGTCAGTCTAGAGAGGAGCCCAACACCAGTGTATTTCAGTATCTCCTCAAATGGGTCTAGCGTGCATCCAAAGTTCAAAGTCACTGTTCGAATGCAGCGGAAGAAAAAATCTGAGTAACAGTGTTGCAGTGTATAAAAATTTTAAGTAACTGCCTGCAAATCACCAGACATTAGGACTTTCATAGAGTAAAGCCAGTCACTGAGAGGACGGTTGGGGCTCTCGACTATTTGGATTAACCATGGGCCAAGCAGAAAAAATTTCAACTCTAAAACTGCTGTTTGCTTTTTAAATTATAAAAGTAATATGTATTCACTGTTGAAAATTTGGAAAAATGTGGGAAAGTAAAAAATCAAACATCACTAATATTTCTACCCAGAGACAGTTAACTTTGATACCTTCTAGTCTGTGTGTGTGCAAGGACGAGCTTTTCAAACAGCCTTCGTGTTCTTCTCGGGGTCTGTATCACACGAACGTTCCATACCGCCTGTAGTACAAGCAGCTAACACACAGCTGCTGCCCTAGGCTAGGTCCTTACTAAGTGAGCTCTAGACACAAATTCATTTAAGCTTCACCAGCACTCCTCTGAGGAAGGACTACTCTCATTCCTATTCTATAAAGGAGGAAACTGAAGCACAAAAGTTAACACTAACATTAATTAGGCACTTATGCAGTGTCAAGCACTATGCAAAGCATGCCGAATGAATTTTGTCATTAACTATACAATCATCATTATGTCTTCATTTTCCAGGTATGGAAACTGAGGCACGGAGAGGTTAAACAACTCTCTCAAGTGACACAACTTTTAAGTGGTGGTAGGGAACGAATTCAAACCCGAGAAGTGGGACCATGAGCCCTTTCAGTCAGCCACTCTGCTGTACTTTTTTCCAATGTCATGAAAAATTCTTCACATGCATAATTTTAATGGACTAGTATTGTATCATACATACATGATTTACTTAACCACTGTGGGACATCTGTGTAGATTACATTCTACAACACTTTGAGAAACACTATTATTCACAAACACCAAGCATGTCTTAGGTTATTATTTAGAATAAATCCTTAGAAAACGAACTAGTAGATGAGGGGTATTATGTTACACTGTTAAACCTGACCTTGGATCAGCCATTCCAATTACACTCCCTGGGGCAGTACAGACGAGAGGTGGTCTTGCTGAACCTTTCCCATCTCTGGTATTACAATCATTTTTTTTTCGTATTAGATGAGTGAAAATAACTTCTCATTGGTTTCAATTTGCATTTCTTTGATCACGAGTAAGGTTAATTTTTTTTTCATGTGTCTACTTGTCATTTGTGGTTTCAAACAATTTCTACAGCACAGTCTGCTTTTCAGCTGACAACAAGGTAGAAGGGGAGCGGACAGGAATCGAGAGAGGCTCCAGGGCAGTGCAGCCGCGCAGGCGAGGCCTGGGGGCTGCCAGGGGAGGGTTGAGCAGGGCCACTCTCAGCACACAGGCAGGAGGCTGCTGCTCTGCAGGAGCCTAGATGGTAAATGAATTGCAAAAATCTATTATTTATCATTATCATTATTTTGGAATTACTTCTTCAAATCCTGCCTCCACCCCCAACCCCTGATAACTTGTTAAGCAGCCACTTAAAGCAAAACTGAATTATGGGTTGAAAAAGTAGAAAATATCATTGAAGAGCAACTTGAGGTAAAGCATTTGCCACTGAGCAGCCTAAGCGCTTCTGTATTTACTACCCAAACATAGTGCAAGCTGCCTAACACTGGGCCCGGCTGAAGGTCAATTCTTGGTTGCTTGTGTTGTCATCAAAATCAGGTTTTGAATGCTCAGCAGAGCACTTCGTGGGCCGGGTTCCACAGGGATTAGCCATTGCTTCATGAGGGAGGCTTGCACATCTCCCTCCCGCTCACCGGCCCAGGTGAGCTGGTAAATCACAGTCCAGGGCTCTGGAAGCCACTGTCCCTTCCCTTAGGAAGTCCTCTGTGGGTCCCATCCACAGCTTGAGCAACACTGCAGAAGAGAAACCATTTAAAAATCCTCAGCACCTACTGGCTAGAGGGTCTTAGACTTTATGCAAAGCCCAAGGGCAAGACAAGAAGACTTAACAAGAAGTTAGAGCTTAACAAGAAGTTTCAATGATCACAGATCCGATTAAGTGAGAGTGAAATAAATCATTAGGTACTGTGTGGCTGACACCCGGCATCAGAGTGGTGAGTGGGCTTTGTGTACCACATAGCTTTAATAAGCACTGTTCTTACTCCTTACGGTCTTACAAACATTTTCCTGGGGTGCACAGCTTTGTGGAAGAAACCACACTGTGTGGCTTCTGCTCATTTTTCTCAATGGATAATCTGGTTTCCCGGTAAACTCGCGGTGTACCTAAATGTCAAAAGGTGGCTGAAATCCCAAGGTGCTACCTGTCTGTCTATGTATGGTGAATACAATCAGAAGACAAAGAGACATAAATAGGACAAGAATATAAACAGACTGAAACTACCTACACGAGTAATGTGGCCAGTTTTTTTCCCCCTCCCCAAAATGTTACATTATCACTTTGTCAAAACTGCCATCTATGACTAATCAAATGACTAAGCATTCTGGTTAAGTTTTTTCTATTTGTACAATGCAACTAAATCCCAATTTAAGGAAAACAGAGATCATCTGGGAAATTTTAAATAATTTATTCTAAAAATAGTCCACATGACACTATAAAGCATTTACTGGATTGGCCAAAAAAGCTGTTTAGTTTTTTCTGTAAAATGAAAGACAAATTTTTATTTTCACCACCAACTTTATTGATTTGGATATTTTGAGCACGTCGGCTATCTCCTGCTATTGGCTTCTAGTGGGTGGAGTCCAGGGGGACTGCTAAATATCTTCCAGTGCATAAGGCAGCCCCACAGCAAAGAGTTATTTGGCCAAAATGTCAATAGTACCAAGAAACTTTACAAACCACTTTTGACACGTTCAATCAGTCATAGCACCTTCTCCATACACTGCACAAATCTTTTTTTTGCATTTCTGTTGCATTTTTATTTTTCTTGAAATCAAGCATAATACATCAAAAATGTACATTTTCTTCCATCTTCAATATTAAAATGGCTGTACAAAGATTCACCAATTTGCACACTGATATAACAGCTGTCGCAATACAGTCTAATAAAATTGTGTTGAATGAAGTTAAACGTAACTAAGCAGTGCTAGAGCCATCGTACAGAAAAGACTAAACGAACTTTTTAGCCAACCTGATATTTAATAATCACGTATTTTGAACCTACTATGAGCCTCACTTTGACAGGCACAAGTGGACCC